AACACTTTAGATTTAAAATTACTGAATCCCATCTGTGAGCTTTTATTCCTAATGAAATGCACTGATAGATCTTACACACTTGTCTAATGCAACAGCTATTTGGTGAAAGAAGTCAGCATGCAGATGTATCCTCTAACAAGGAGAACTCAGACAAACCATATCATATTGTGTTTGAATTGGTATAGAGTGAGATTATCACAGAGAAAATGTATAGTCTAATTCAAACAGCCAAGGAGTAGAGTTTGAAACAAAAAATCATTAGGCTGAACAGCATTCTGCTTGACAGTAAAATTTGAGTTGTTTCATACTCTTGAAGGATTTTTTTTAAAGAAAACTTCTTTTAAGTTCAGGATACAAGTGCAGGTTTGTTTCATAGGTAAACTTGTGTCATGGGGGTTTGTTGTACAGATTATTTCGTCACCCAGGTATTAAGCCTAGTACTCATTGTTATTATTTCTGATCCTCTCCCTTTTCCCACCTTCCACCCTCCAAAAGGCCCCAATATGTGTTGTTCCCATCTACGTGTCCATGTGTTCTCATCATTTAGCTCCCACTTATAAGTGAGAACATGTGGTATTTGGTTTTCTGTTGCTGTGCTAGTTCGCTAAGGATGATGGCCTCCAGCTCCATCCATGTCCCTGTAAAGGGCATGATCTCATTCTTTTTTATAGCTGCATAGTATTCCATGACGTCTATTTATCAGGTCTATTATTGATGGACACCCAGGTTGACTCCATGTCTTTGCTATTATGAGTAGTGCTGCAGCAAACATACACATGTGTCTTTATAATATAACACAAACAACTGTCAAGCTGAGAGCCAAATCTGGAATGAACTATTCGCAATTGCCACAAAAAGAACAAAATACCTAGAAATACAAATAACTAGGGAGGTGAAAAATGTCTACAAGGAGAACTACAAAACACTGCTCAAAGAAATCAGAGATGACACAAACAAATGGAAAAACATTCCATGCTTATGGGTAGAATCAATATCATGAAAATGGCCATACTGCCCAAAGCAATTTATGGATTCAATGCTATTCCTATTAAACTATTGTTGACATTATTCAAAGAATTAGAGAAAACTACTTTAGAATTCATGTAGAACCAATAAAGAGGCCAAATAGCCAAGGCAATCCTAAGCAAAAGAACAAAGCCGGAGGCATCCCGCTACCCCACTTCAAACTACACTACAGGGCTACAGTAACCAAACAGCATGGTGTTGGTACAGAAACAGACACATAGACCAATGAAATGGAATACAGCATGATATTATCTCATCAGACAGTTTCACCTTGTCTATTCAGTCCCATTGTACCAGGCTTAGGTATTCCAGACCCAATAAAGGAAACCAGAATATGTCACCCTGAAATATACTGTTTAACATAGACAAGGCAACCTCTGATATTTTTAACTAAAGGCAGTTAAGAAGCAGCAAAGGGAGAGAAGCTCCCTCTATCCTCCTTTTCTTCCTAAAGACTGGATAGAAATTCTCCTTTACTGGAGACAGTTATCAGCCCAGAGATGGCACCAGGGGAATCTGCAAAAAGCCTTACTACATTAGTTTATTTTCATAAATTTACCTTCCCACATTTTCCTACCTCTGGAAGCCTTAAGCTGCTTTCCTTTGTCCTGTTAGTTCTCTAAAATTTATTGTTCTTTGTTGAAGGCCTGTGTAAGCCAGAGTTTTAAGCCAGTGCTTTGAGTTAACTTTCATTGAAGTTTCTTCGATGTGATCTGCACTGCATGTATTTGTAAGTCTACTTGTTTTTCTCTTGTTAATCTGTCTTTTGTTACAGGAGTCTGTCCCAACTACAAACTTAAGAGAATTGCCGAAAACACCCCTACACCAACTTAGAGCCAATCTATTCAGTCTCCATTGCTAGCAGATGAGACTGTTTGTTCAGGGGCTAATTATAATGGTAGAAAACACTTTGTTTTCTTAAAAGCAGACCTGAGGGGCTCTGACTCCTTCAAATATGCTTATATCCTTCAAATAGGCAATGTACTGGTCTTATTTGTCCTGGTAGGAGAGGTATGCAGCTGATCCCTCTGATCTATCTCACTAACAGTGCAAAAAAAAAAAAAAAAAAAATGGGTGGAATTTTTATCTTTTACCTTGGAACCAAAGTTTCACAGTGCTAGTGGGCATGAGGACTGTGACAGATAGCTACTGGTAGATAATATGGAGCCAACACATGAATATTTCAGAATAGCCCACTCTAGCTGAGGAGGCAGAATAGCAAGGCATAAGATAAAGTGGAGCATCTTTAGTAAGAAAAACCTTCCCTTGGTTCTACTGGTCCCTCTGGGATTAGATTCCTATGATGAAGCATATGCTCTGTTAAACTCTGTTAATTCTTTTGCCCTGTGTCTCTCATGTAAATAACAGTGTCATTTATAGAATGCCTAACCATGGTGCATAAACAGGTACTGCATACATTAATTTAAAGTCCCTTCTGTTAGATATTGGTATCATATCCTTCCTGTTTTACAGATGAAAACTGAGATTCAAGAGATTAAGTAATTTTCCCCATTCACACAGCTAGTGTATATGCATTAGGATTCAAATCCACATGCATCCGAGTCCTGTATTTTAATTACAATACAAACCTGTCCCATTTCTTTTCTGCTTTGGCAGTTCTCTTTCTTAGGAATTCTCAGGTTTGATTGTCAAGTTTCTATTCAAGAGCAGAATTCTGCCTAGAGCCTCCTCACTAAAGAAGTACTGTATACTTGTGTTTCACTAAGACAAGGACACCAACTTACAACTGGTACTAATGGCTTGACCACAGGTTCCCAGGCAAAGTGACAATGCCAGTGGACCGACTTTTTTAAAGTAACTTTGGATAAATAAATAGTATCAACTCTGTGACCCTGACTGAGCTTAAATTATTCTCAAGCATAATGTTTAATAAAAGACAGAGACATAGAGATACTATCTAATTTTTGTAAGCTGACACACTGCTGGATCTGTATTAGGTCTAGGCACATGTTTCGGACTCTGGGAGCTCTAGATATAAATATGTTATATTTATAGCATATCTGATATACTACAGTATTCTATACTGGAATAGATCTCAAATTACTGATGTTCGGTGATGATACATATTCCAAGCCTCATAGGCCTTAGGCCAAGACATGAATGCCATGTATTCCTATTATGCTGTTTATGATAGGAAATGCAGTATTTTTTTATTTTTAACTCAAACCAACAATAAGAAGAACCTAAGGAGATGGGGAAGAGAAAAGAGATAAAGACACTAACTAGCTGAGAATAGACAGTATCTGTGAAGTCTGTCTCCAGACATGAATCCCCTGCCTGTGATTCTTTCTTGTTCCAGTAGGGCCCATTTGAAGCTGCTAAAGAGCAGATCCTATGCCTAGGAAAGCAGGGCTTCAGGCCTTTTGAATTTAAAAACACATTCTGGTTTCTTATACTCGATTAGCAGCATTCTCCTTTTGGTTGACTAAGGGCGAGGCACTGATGGAGAGGTGAACATTAAGAAATTTAAAATATAATCCCTAACTCAAGAAGCCCAGTTGAGGCAGACAGTGGGGGAATGTTTTAGATAGGTATAGTGTTTAACATAAACACTTGCAAAAGGTTGAGTGCCAGAATTGTGGGGTGAAATTTCAGAGGAAGGGTAAAGCATGTCGTCTCACACACTGTATTCTAGCCACAATAACAGCTCATACGTATAAGTGAATTTTTCAGAGGTCCTACAAGTGAGAGTGTGTGTGTGTGTGTGTGTGTGTGTGCATGCATGCATGCACATAGGTGTGTAACTTTTCCCCATCAACCCAACAATAATAAGCTTTAAGCTTTTAGAGTTTATTATTGGGTTAAGATACATGGTTTTGAAACCCACTTTTACTACCTTGTAGCTGAATTATGTTGTCTAAATTTTCTGTTTATGCCACTATCTCCTTGTCTATTAAAAATCATTGCTAATTTTAAAAGGGCTTATTGTATTAAATGTGAGAAGTAAATGAAATAATGTATATAAAGCTCTCAGTGCAGAGCTTGGCATATGGAAGATTCAGTAAGTAATACCGTGGCAGATATTGTTGATTGCTTACTTAATATTCATTCACTCCTTCATTGCTGATGAAACTCCAGATTAAGGAGCAATGCACCCAGATAGATGCTCACATTTCCGTCTCCCTTGAGCCAACAGTTACCACACAGCTTCATTGCTTGCTTCTGTGTCCTTCGTTGCTTGGTTCTGTGTGCAGCTGTGCCTAACTGTGGGGAGTTTTCACTTTTCTATGAAAAGGGGACACATTTGCCTGGCATCATTTGTTTCTCATTTTTCTTTCCTTGAATGTGAATCTAATGTCAGGAGCTGAAGCTACCATATGTGATCCAAGTGTTGGGGCTCAGAAAATGGTACCCTAAAATATGGCACTTTGGCATACTGAGTACTTTGAACTAAAGGAGATGGGAAGGCCTTAAAAGCAGCCTCAAAAGCAAAGTCTCTTTCTGACCTTCTCCTGCTCTCTTTCTCTCTTGAAGTGAGTGGTAGAATTCCTCTTGCCTAAGGTGGGTCATAGAAACTAGAACCCTCTTCCCCAAAGCAAGCCATAAAACTTAGATCACTCTTTTCTCTTCCCTCTTAAAGAACCGCATTTCAGTGGGGTCCTGACCCATATCTGGGAGGAAGAAATTCTACAGAAACCCAGAAGAATCTGAACAGACAGCCTTACTAGGTTTCTCTCTCAGTCTTTTACCACTCAATCATGCCTTTTTTTTTTTTTTTTGTCTAATCACATTTCAATGTCGTAGTCTACTCTTCATCAAACCTAAGCATAAATATAGATGGTTTTCCCTGTGTCTTTTGGTCTTCATTTCTGAAGCCTCCTGTGTCACATAAAACTTTGATTAAATACATTTGTCAAGCTTTTCTCTTTTTAACCTATCCTTTAGTATGGGAGGGTCAACTATAGCACTTATGATGGGTAAGAAAAGTTATCACATCTTTCCTGCCCCTACAGATTCTGGTACCCAGTGTGGGGTGACTGAAATGAGCTTGGGACAACTGATAAAAAATCAACAACAACAACAGCAGGAACATTTTTTTTTCAACCAAGGTCATCTCTCCTGGATCTCTGCCTATAGTGCCCAATTAAAAATAGAAGGTAAGAATTTCTTTTTGTCCCTTCCTTCACAAATTCAGATTAGCAGGAAGATATCATTTGTTTGGATTGTGTCTTTTGTGTAAATCTGATTTGGAAGTACATATTTGTTATTGATCTTTTCCCTTCCAGAGACAGCCATTTCTTTCCTATTTGTCTTGTTCTATGTTCTGAAGATTTGGTTTTATGATCAGTAAGAATATTCTCTCTGGTCTCTGGCTGGGGGTGAAAGTATCAGCTTACTTCAAGGCAGCCAGTCCATATAGGCTGAGAGCCTGAATGTTTTTTGTCATAGTGCCAACTCTCAGGGAAATTTGTCTTATTAGAGATTCCAATTCATAAGGGGCTTGGTTTGTTTTTTTGGTTTTGTGTTTTATTTATTTATTTTTTTTAATTTTTTTTTTGGTCTCAGCCTTCATTGCTTGGTTCTGTGGCAACAAAGGTCTTTGTTTCTTTTGAGTGTCTTGGAGGATGATTCTGGATCTTGGGAAGACTACATCTTTTGCACCCTCTTTTCTGGATATCTTCTTAATCCTTGGTTAAGTCATAAAAGAGTTATTGATTTTGGTTCCAAGTCATTTGGTAGGTACCTCAGTTTAAAAGAAAAATCCACAAGTAGTTGCTGATTTTTTCTGGCTGAAATATGAAAATAAAAGATTTGAAAAATTTTTTACTTTGCTTTTTTTTTTCTGAAGAACTCTGTGGTCAGAAGTCTGATTAACAGCATTTTTTTTTTTTTTTTTTTTTTGCCTTTCTGTTTGGTCTATTGGATATTGCTTCTTCCATGGGAACTTAGTTGATGGAAACTCCTCTTGTTGAATCCCTGCTAACTATAATCTCAGCCCTTCTGCCTGTTTTCTTTCTTGCAGGCATGATTTTTTTTTTTTTTTTTTTCTGAGGAGAATGTATAATATCACTGGCTTTTTTAGGGGGATGGGAAAAATCTAGCCTAAAAGCAGAATGCATGGTAAAAGATGAATTAATTGCTTGATGCATGTCAATTGCAAAAAATAAAAAATAAAATAAGAGAGAACAGTGTTTAACTTTTTAGTTTCTGTGCATCTGTGACTTTTTGATACTTTGATTTGTCAATAAGAAAAATAACAAGATAGCATCTAGCTGTATTAGTAATAAAATTTTCATGAACAGTTCAAGCGTAATTGTTAAAGATGAACTAGATGAATGTGAGATAAAAGTTTATAAGTAAAATTTTCAATATAATTATGCTTTGTAACATATGTCTACTTAGGAATAACTTCAAAAATCTTTTTTGGTAACTTAAAACCTTAATATGAGACTAAGTAATATATATTTACTTCATGCCTCAGTAAGGTAAGATACTAAAATATTAAGTGCTAAGCATAAGTTTAAGTTTAAATATTTTGGCATCCTGTTTTTATGTGGTGTAGAGAGCTAAATATATCTGAGTCTGTTAATAAGCATGAAAAATTGAGGAAACATCTTTCTGGAAATTATAAAATGGTAAATGCTGATATAAACCAATTTACAATACTTGCTGGTTTTCATTAGAAATTAAGATTACTAGAGTTAAAGATTATAATTAACCTATGTCATTAAGCTACTAGAAATTGAAGGCATACCTTAAAGATGTTGCAGGTTGGTTCTAGATCATTGCAATAAAGTGGGTCATACATATTGTTGATTTCCCAGTATTATAGGAGTTACTAAGAAATTATTTTAGTCAAATAGAAAAAGGGGAAGTTTTTGTTTCTTTTAAAGCTGCTCTAGAAGTTTCTTGTCTAGTAGGAAACCCCTGGCTCTTAGAGCTGGGTCAGCAAGCTTTGGTATGCAAATGCCCACCATTAGAAACTGGGTCCACCCTAACGAGGCAATTTCCACCATCTTCTTCCTTACCCCTATGTATGCCTGATAATATGGCTGTCCCCATATATCCCTTGTGTAAAACATCATGGCACCCTGCATTTGCATATTAGAAGAAGGGCCAGGTTTTTCACTGGCTGCATGAATGACCTGCCTGGTCAAACCAATCCCCTGAGCCCAATGCAAATCAGACAATACCTCCTCCAGCCTCCTCATATAAGCAGCCATTGCAGTGCCTGTGGGGTTTCCTCTCTCAGCTTTGGAGCACCCTTTCCTCTCTCTCTGTATAGGGGAATTTCTTCCTTTTTTCTTCCCTATTAAACATCCTGTTCCTTAAAACCACTCCATGTGTGTCCGTGTCCCTTTATCAAAATAGGTATGAGACTAAGGACCCTAGTGTTCCTCCAGTCATTGGAGCCTATCACCAGTGCATATAAAAGTCATGTTTATACTATACTGTAGCCCTTTAAGTGTTCAACAGCATTATGTTTTAAAAAATTATATATACCTTAATTTAAAGATATTTCATTGCTAAAAACGATGCTGATAGAAACAAAGTGAGCACATGCTATTGAAAAAATGATGCCAGTAGACTCAGAGTTGCCACAAATTGTCAATTTATTTAAAAATGCAATATCTGCAAAGCACAACAAAATGAAGGGCAATAAAATGAGGTATGACTGTATAAACAACTCTCTATGTGAAGAAAATAAGATGTATTTGATAAAGAAAGGTGTAAACATGGGTGAAGGAGAAATAAAATCCTTTACAGACAGGCAAATGCTGAGAGATTTTGCACTTGCTGAGGAGTGTTTTACTTTCAATTATGTGGGCAATTTTAGAATAAGTGTGATGTGAGGCTGAGAAGAATGTATATTTTGTGGATTTGGGATGGAGAGGTCTGTAGCTGTCTATTAGGTCCACTTGGTCCAGATCTGAGTTCAAGTCCTGCATATCCTTGTTAATTTTCTGTCTCGTTCATCTGTCTAATATTGACAGTGGAGTGTTAAAGTCTCCCACTATTATTGTGTGGGAGTCTAAGTCCCTTTGTAGGTCTTTAAGAACTTGCTTTATATATCTGGCTGCTCCAGTATTGGGTGCATATATATTTAGAATAGTTAGCTCTTCTTGTGGCATTGATCCCTTCACAATTATATAATGCCCTTCTTTGTCTCTTTTGATCTTTATTGGTTTAAAGTCTGTTTATTCAGAGACTAGGATTGCAACCCCTGCTTTTTTTGCTTTCCTTTTGCTTGGTAAATCTTCCTCCATCCCTTTATTATTTTGAGCCTGTGTGTGTCTTTGCACATGAGATGGGTCTCCTGAATACAGCACACCAATGGGTCTTGACTCTATCCAGTTTGCCAGTCTGTGTCTTTTTATTGGGGCATTTGGCCCATTTACATTTAACATTAATATTGTTATGTGTGAATTTGAACCTGCCATTATGAGCTCCTTGTTTCACTCATTAGCTTCTTCATGATGTCGATGGTCTTTACAATTTGGTATGTTTTTGCAGTGGCTGGTACTGGTTGTTCCTTTCCATGTTTAGTGGTTCTTTCAGGAGCTCTTATAAGGCAGCCCTGGTGGTGACAAAATCCCTCAATACAAAAGTTAGTCGAGTGTGGTGGCATGCACCTGTAATCACAGCTACTTGGGAGGCTGAGGCATGAGAATCACTTGTGCTTGTTGTAGAAGTTGCAGTGAGCTGAGATCATGCCATTACAGTCTGGCTGACAAAGTGAGATCCTGTCTCAAAAAAGAAAAAATGACTTTTTTTTTGAAATTTTGTTGATTTTATAAAAGTTCTTTTATTCAGATTTAAGAAATTTATTTTTTTTAAGCTATCTATAGCTTATAGTCATTTGATAAACTATAATTTTATGAACAAAAATTTACTTTTTTCCCCTATCTGATTCTTCTGGAATTAAAAAAAATCTTATTTATGAGTATTCTTCTTCTTATTATTTTTTTGTTGCTATTGAGGCAGAGTCTCACTCTGTTGCTCAGGCTGGAGTTCAGTGGCATGATCTTGGCTCACTAAAACTTCTGCCTCCTGGGTTTAAGTGATTCTCACGCCTCAGCCTCCCAGATTGCTGGGATTACAAGTGTCTGCCACCACACCTGGCTAATTTTTGTACTTTTAGTAGAGACAGGATTTTGCCTGGCTTCAAGTGGTTTGCCCACTTTGGCCTCCCAAAGTGCTGGGATTGCAGGCGTGAGCCACCACGTTTAGCCTGAGTGTTCTTATTCTAATGGCAATATAGTTACTTGCATAAGTTCAATACAAATCTGTTACCCTTATAACAGGATACAAATAGAAACATTGGTTTTATTAGAGAAAGTTTTATTGGAATGCCATATGTTCATTTGTGATCAGACAACTTTAAGGAGCTAGGGTTGACTTTATAGAGCCAATAAAGACCTCCTTTGGAAAAACTGGCTTGCTACCTTAAATAAATGGTTCACACAGTTACCTTTCAAGTGGGTAAAGACTCTCACTTCCTGACAGACTGAGAAACGTCAGGATATTTTGGGGACCTCAAGCAAAATAAATTCACCCAAATTTATAGCTCCTACAGGTTAATTTTAATGGCAGGTTCTTGACTTGACTTCCTCATTGAGATTCCTATGAGAAGTACCAGCGACGCAAATGTAAAGAGAGCTTATCTGTCAATCACTATTCTTGCTGCACTTTTGTAAATAAACAGATCAAGTTTAATGAAACTAAACCAATTTTCCAAACAAATTAGTCTTACTCTGATTTATTTTTGGTAGAAATGGGATTGACTGTAGAAAAATATTCTGTTTCAGAAGAAAATTATAGTGTACCTGTTAGTAGAGACTAGCTCATTGTTTTTGAAGGTTTGTTAATTATGTAAAATCTGGACTACATTCTTGAATTTTCTAGTTTCCTCCCATTTCTGGCTGCAAGTCTTCAAATAATTATCACTAATTTCTCTCCCACCCTCTGGCTTGGAATCATTGGAAAAAAAAAAAAAAAAAGAAAGAAAAAAAATGCTCTTTTCCTGAGGCCTAACAGACTGAAGCTGGATCACTTTATGTTGACTTCAGAGAAATTACCACAACAACTTATGTATGAACAACCTTCATTCCTGTTGCTGTATAGACTATTCAGGAAGTTCACTGGGGCACCCCATGCAAACAGTAAACCAGGAAAATCTATTCAAATTATCACTGCCTGCCTTTGCTTCACCTGAAGCTACTTCGAGACTATCTAGAAATCTTGACTGGGTACCCTCTGGACTCAAAAATTGAGTTTAGTTTGCTCTGTTAACCTTTGTTTATACTTTGTTTCTATAAAAATGCATCTCATTAAATACTTGATAGCTTACACTATATAAAAGTCTAACTTTGTTGAAAGCTCACCTACAACATTAC